TTTTTTTTGGTTTTTCGAGACAGGGTTTCTCTGTGTAGCTTTGGAGCCTATCCTGGCACTCGCTCTGAAGACCAGGCTGGCCTGGAACTCTGGAACTCACAGAGATCCGCCTGCCTCTGCCTCCCGAGTGCTGGGATTAAAGGCATGTGCCACTATTGCCTGGCCCTCAGCTAACTTTTTAACTGTTATCAGGAGTTTATTTGGGGCAGAGGGGCACACAGCTGTAATCCCTACTCAAGAGGCTATGACATGAAGGTTACCTCAGATCTGAACCTGGACCACCCTGAACTACACAGTGAGTTATAAGCTGGCCAGGGACACACAGCAAAAACCTGTCTCAAAAAATAGCGAACAGGGCTGGCGAGATGGCTCATCGGATAAAGGTATCTGCTGCCGAGTCTGCGTTCCATTCGCAGGCCTCACCTGGTGGAAAGAAAGAGCTCATTCCTGCCAACCGTCCTATGACCTCTGACCTGCACTGGTGTGCTATGGCATATGTGCCCCACCCCACAAATAAATAAATGTAAGTTTAAAGTAAGATGGGAACAGAGGCTGCAGAGGTGACTCAGTACCATCACTGGCTGTGAAGACATGAGGAGCTGAGTTCATATCTCCAGCACCCACAGAAAACCTGGGCATGGCTGTGTACGCCTGTGACCTTTGTATTGAGAGGCAGAAGCAGGTAGATCCCAGGGCATCACTGGTCACCAGCCTAGCCTCCACGGTGAGCCTCAGTTTCAGGAAGAGACTGTCTCAAGGGAATAGGTGGCCAGAAACAGAGGAAGAAGACACAGGGAGTCCTCCCTTGGCCTCTGTATGTGGACATATGTGCAAGGGACCACCCTCACACACATATTTTCACATACACCCCCATTCCCCAGATAAAAATTAAAAACAAAAAATAATGGATACGATAATCCCAGGATGTAAGTATTATTATCCTCATTTTATAAATGAGAAAAATGAGACTCAGAGAGGTCTAGTAGTTTGCCCACAGTCACACAGCTATGAAATAGTAAGCATGGCTCCAAACCCATGTAGTTCTGACTGCAAACCCATACCCAAAGTGACCAAGGAACCGCAAACATCAGCCCCCGCATCAGAGCCTTCTCGTGGGCTTTGCTCTTGCTTCTTCATGTATTTCTGTATTTCTCGAAGTGTTTTCAAGTAGAACTAAAGCCCTTTCATCAACCACATTTTAGAAGTGGTCCCCCCAAAAGCTTTCAGAGGTCCCTTTCCACTCTTTCCTCCTCCAGGTAACGTCACACCCAGCTAATGACAAAGCCTCCGAAGCTGAATGACCTGCTCTATTAGAGAAAGCCCCACAGAAGTCTCCACCTCTGAGCAGCTCTCTCCCAGCCCTACAAGCTCCACGCTCCTCCCAGTCATCCCCAGAGGCTCTCCCTACAGAGTCCCACAGCCAGGGCTCCATGCTGTCTGGGAACTCACTCTGAACCTCCCTTCCTCAGCTAGCACAGGAGAGGTCCCAGAACCTCACAATGGTTTTCCATCGAATGTATGGCTTGATGCCAATGGGGAGGAGCATAAGATCAGGGGTTCAAAGACCTGTTCAGTTGTCAAGAAAACTCTTGGTAGAACCCAAACTTCAAGCGACAGGCCCTATTCTACGGTGACACCCATGGGTATTGTTGCCATGCCAATGCTTGAGAGACACTAGCCACAATGAACATTGCCTCAGCTCTCCATTTCCCTTTAGGACCCTCCCCTCAACGCTGAAGAGATCCTTCCTTTCCCTTCAGAAATCACAGGACCCTCCAAGTCATGATGGCGGCACACGCCTGCAATCCCAGCACTTGGGAGGCTGAGACAGGACAGAAAGTCTGAGTCCAGACTGGAATACCTAGAGTTTCAGACTATCCCAAGACACATATAAAGGCCTGTCTCAAAAAAAAAAACAAAAACAAAAAACAAAAACAAAAAACAAAACTGGGCCAGGGAGATAGTCCAGTGGGTGAAGGTGCCACCAAGCCTGGTGTGAGTTCCATCCCCAGGATGAGACAAACTTCTAAAAACTATCCTCTAACCCTGACATGTGCTGTGGCATGCACATGGCCACTACCCACAGCTTACCCTCAAAATAAATAAATGTAATAACATTACAGCAACAACCAAAAACATGCCGAGTGGTGGTGGCACACACCTTTGATACAGTACTTGGGAGGCAGAGGCAGGAGGATCTCTGTGAGTTCCAGGTCAGCCTGGTCTATAAGAGTAAGTTCCAGGAGAGTCGAGGTTACACAGAGAAAACCTTGTCTCCAAAACCAAAAACATAATTTGCTTAACTCTGGGAGGCTTGAGGAAAGAAGCTTTGGACAGCTGAAAAAGAGAGAGAGATAGAGAGAGAGAGAGAGAGAGAGAGAGAGAGAGAGACTTTGATGGAAATTAACTGATTCCTTGCTGCCACCCCTCCCTCACATCTGGCACAGACGCAGCCACCCAGGCTGGGACAAAGATGAGAAAAGCCAGAGAGACAACTAAACGAGTTAAGTGAAGAGTCGACTGGATTCTAAGTGTAAAAAGAACAAATCAAGACAGTACACCACACACGAGCCGCACCTCAGGCACCCTTCTACTATGACTCAGGCTGTTGACTTTGTCGAATCCCACCCGCTAGGTTCCTGAGAGAAGTCAGAGACAGGGCAAAGACCTACAGAACTGACTCCAGCTCTGCAAGCTGATGTGGCCCAGGGAAGGGAGAGCCGGCCGGCCAGCAGCACAGGAGGAAGCAGAGGCCTCTGGCTCTAGTGGGTGATCATCTCCCCTCAACCCCAGCTTGTCTTCCCTCAGCTTCCCAGACATTCTGAAGTGGGTTCTTCCACTGGTGACCAGGTAATTCCCCACACACCAGCTCCCAGAGAGAGCCAGAAGAGGAAACAAGAAGCAGGAGTTGCCACTGTCTTAAGGGATCCTTCAAGGACCTCCTCACAGTCCTCTCCCTTCTAAGCCATCCTTTGGCTGATGAGGAATGAAAGTCCAGGAGGCAAACAGCTCTGAGGATGCTGCCTGAGACAAAATGGCCCCTGTAAGAGCTTACATCTTGAGTGAGAGATTGACAGACTTGAGCAAAGGGAGAGTCAGAAGTAGACAAAGGTACAGCCCCACCAGTCCTGGCAGGACAGGTAAAAGGAGACCAACTACCAAGCTGGATAGGATCTGCGTTATCAGGGGGCCATGGGTTTCTTTTCACCAGCACTGTCTCCCCATCTCCCCTGGTGCCTTCCCTGTTTAGCAGGACCCACCCCACACCAGGAAGGCCCTGAGAGACTAAGGAGTCCATCTTCACATAGTGGATAGACCTGAACAATAAAGTGAGCTTTAAAAGTGGAAACCCTTAGTGTGCTTGCTTCCCACAACCACCCCACCTGCTTTTCAGTCTTTCCAACTTAAAGGCCCTCAAAGTGCAAATCTCCCCACGTAAAGCCAGCCAGGTTACCTGGGTGTGTGTGGGGGGGTCCCCAGGGTTGATCAGGGCTTTCTTTTAAGTTGGCCACTCAGACCAAACAGCAAAGTCTAGGGTCACTAAGGCAAAACAAAGATGCCCTCCCTCCGTGTAGCAAAAGTGCCCAGCTGAGTTCACTCTGTGAGTGAGTGTGACAGGGTAGGGTAGGAGCTTGGGGCTTTCTTGGAGACATGTTCACAAAAAGGTCCTATTTTCCCTAACTCAGGAGATCCCGGTCTCCTTTCTCATTGCTTTATGCCAAGCACTGTAGACTAAGATACAGAAGAATCGCCCTGACCTTGAGGATTGCCCTCACAGGTGCCCCTCCCTTCCCAAACTGGCCCAGTACCCCCAAAACCCTGCAGAACTCAACCCCAGCTCCTCTCACCCCTCACAGCCTGAAGTCCCTTTGGGCCATCACAGATAATGGTCTGGAACAGAAATCTGGAGAGGCAAGGTGACACAAAGGCAATCTCGTGAGTTCTGGAATCACAGACTTGAGTACAGTTGTGTAGACCGAAGAGATCTACGGATTCTCAGCGTGACCTTGAGAAAGTCATTCAACCTGCTTGGGCCTCACTCTCCTAATCTGTAAAATGGAAACGTGAGCACTACCTGAAGACTGCAGTTTTGAGAAGTCGGTATTAAACACAGACTATCAAGTACACGGTGAGTTATCAGTGCTCCCCAAGACCTCCATGGTGAAGGGCTGCCACGAAGAGGTAGCAGTCAACTGCTACATTTTATTGGATCTTCAAGACTGAGATGAAGATGCCCGGGTAGATGATGCTCCGGGCTTGGGCATTTTGACTTGGGAGGGTTTGGGAGTCTGCAGTCCTCTTGATACTATACTTGGGATGGGAAGGCAGACTCTCCCTTAGGGTTCTGGAGGCTGCCTCCTCAATTGGGTGTGGCATCGATGATTTCTTTCCCAGGAAACCTTTCATTAGACCTGCATCCCCTCCCCCACCCCAAGTCCAAGCAACAACTACTTCAGGTGATGAAAGGTTGGTCCTAGAATTCCTCCATAGAGACCCTAGACTTCGCATTTCTGATCTATCCCATCCACCGGTCTTCCCCTCCCTTCCTGGAGGTTGGGGTAGAGATGCAAGCCAATAACAAAGGGAAATCCTGCTTTCTCCCGGGGGGGGGGGGCGGAGGGGGGCAGAAACATCCCCAAAGCGGGGGACTGGCTCTAAGGGGTGGGAACATTCCCAGAGAATGGCAAAGACAAGTTGGGGCTCCCGATGACGAGGAAGGTGCCCCCTCCCACTCTGCAGAGACTTGGCTGTAGGCCTAGGCAGGCCACACCCAGCCATCCTGATGCAGGGGAGAGGAGGGGCTGCGGTGGATGGAGGGCCAGCGGCCCGGAGCCGCTGCAGAATGACAGGCGTAGAGGCTTAAGTCTTAGAGATGAAAAGATGTTTGCATGCCGCCCCCTCCTCTAATTTCCTTCGGATGACACACTCACCCCAATAATGACGCTGTCGTCCCCTTGGAAAATGGGGATGAACTTG